TTTTAAAAGAACAATTACTTAAAATAGAAGGAAGAACATCCCTGAGAATTAATCTAAGAGTAACCTTGGTTGTCATACTCCCTATGTCTTACCAGCGATGGGAGCAATTAAGGCATAATGACAGTCACACATTGACCTCTCAGCTTTCCTCTGGTTTTGACACCATGCTTCCAAAGTTTCTGTTCTAAGAGGCTCAGGTCCTCTTATGAACATGCTGTTTTGTTAGGTTACTTCCACTTGACTTCCAGACTTGACTTTTCCCAGTCTGAGAGGAGAGTTAACTCTAAAGGAGTGTGGCCCAGAGCCAACCATCCATCTGGCCTTAAGTAAGCATAGCTCTTTGGAGTTTGTAAACCATTTTAATTTTTAAAAGTTCAGTTCTATCCTGAGCTCACAGGGAGGTCATGAAAGGATCTTAAGTTGGGAAAGTAACAATTAGTTTGTTTTGTTTTCAACTTCACTTTGACTATAATGTGGTGAATGGATTAGGAGACAGACAACAGATTAGAGAATAAGACACACATATCAGTCAGGAGGTTACTACTACAGTCAAGCCGAGAGATGGTGGAGGCCCAGAACCGTAAGTGTGTCTGTGGACTTGGAGAGAAACGAAAGGATTTAAAAGATTATCTAGAAGGTTGGAGCAGCAATACTTAATGATGGCATAAAACCCCATGATGACTTGATATCACTAGGCCTCCAACAGCCCATTTTAATGCTCACCTAAGAGCTGTTCTAAAGTTTATTTAGATGAACAGTAACACATGCTTATTTTGTTTAGCAGAAATCTGCTAGCATGATTAATAGTAACAGTCAAATTTTCTTTTCATGTCAATAAATCTAATAATTATGCAAAGCATTATTCCTACAATTCTAGTATTTGAGGTATAGAATGAAAACACACACGCACATCACATATTTATTGAGTGCCTGGGTAATACATGGTTTTTTTTTTAACAACACACACACACACAGAAGCAGAAGAAAACTGACAGACTTAAAAGAGAAAAGGAGTATTTTTAATAATTTATTTGGAGCTATGAAAGTTATTGAAGTATAATACTTGCCTCGAACACTTTCCCAACAGCTGAAATTAATTTTTATGCCTAAGCAAGATACTTCATGGTGGTGAAACATATAAGGTTCACTGATTTTGAATATTCTATTCAAAATATCTCAAAAGAAAAAGACTATTTGTGCAGTCAACTATTTGAACTAGTAAAAAGACTGAAGCATAAAGGAGAATAAGCAAAAAAGACATTTAGCATGACATAAATATGGAATTTGATTTTCTTCCACAAAATATTCAACTTATATTTACAGTTATTAAGTAATCTTGCCTATATTATGTATTCCTTGTAAACTGAGATAAAATCTCAATCTCATAGAATGTAACTAGAAAGAAAGTTATCATTCTAAATTTGGAAATATTTCTAATTACATATATGTCCACACCAGTATATTGTACATTCACCTTGAATACCTTTAATATGCTCATTAGCTAAATAATATGTAATATGAACAATATTAGTTACAGTGATTACCCAATTCTGCATTCATTCATTTGAATGTGATTATTTTGACAAAGGTCTTAATCCATAATGTCAATCCTTTTTGTTTATTTCTGTTTTTCCTACCCTTTAGAGGATATCTCCGAGGAAGATTTTTTGGTATGTACATTTTGTTTATACTACACATGCCAAATAGATCTTCCAAGATGAAACTCTGAGCTCATTTGGAAGTAATTTTTGGTAGCACATGAATCAGAACTCTTATTTTCTTCTCAGCACTACTGGTATTTTATTGCTTCCATCTATAGCCCAATATGCTTTTAGCACTAAGAACCCTGAGGCCAAATACAAAGCACTAAGAAAATGGGAACTTCTGGCGATTACAATTTTTGTCTCCCTTTCAGGGTTCTTCCCTCCCCTGGGACAGTGAAATCACTTTAAGCTCACTATGAAACAGGAACATGGTAAGTACAAATGATGGACTGAAGTTGGTGATGCTGCTTTAGGAATCTTTGGCTTATAGGTCAGGTGTAAACCCTTACATCTGCTTGTCAGATTTGCTTGTCAAACTCCCATGGATTTTTCCAAACCCTGCCTAAATGTCACATTTGCTATAAAGGCTTCTCTGGCCAGTACAGGCAGAGTTAGGTCGTTCCTCTTTTGTGTTACTATAATACCTCAACATATTCCTGTGACAGCATTTATCAAACTATATTGCAGTTTTTTTTTTCTCTCTCTCCACTCCTAGAAGGAGACTATTCACTTCTTTTTATCTCTGGACCAGAACACTACCAAAATCAAGTTGGTTCTCAATAAATAATTGAAAGACTGGTCAGAGAATAGCTAATAACACTCAACATCTGCATAGCATAGGTTATGATGTCTTTTCATACAGGAGTGAGGAAGACATGGCAGGAACTATCATCTATATTTTATAGATAAGGAAACCAATGCCCAGAGAGGTTACATGATTAACCCAAATTCAAAACCACTAAGAACTTATACATCTAGGTCTTGTGCTAGTAAGTTTAAAAAAATTGTAGATAGAAGTGGTAGCAGTGGTGTATCTATGGCAAAGATGGCAATGTCTGGCCAGGACTACACCAGGGAAGTATTTCAGAGTGGTTGACACACTGTTGGATCTGGTTACTTGTAAAATTCAATCTTAAAAGTTTCTCAAGAAGGTAAGTACATGTGAAACTAGACATAAGAATATGAAATTATTTTCATCGAGAAAGATTTGTGATACATTCTTTCTCTGTACTCAAGAGAAGACAGTAGAAAGAAAAAGACATAAAATATATTCTATATATAGACACAATACATGACTCTGCCATCTCTGAAATTCTGACCATGACTCATAGACTCCTAAAGAGGAATAAGTTATTATAGATCAGTACTCTAAGTCTTTCATTAAAAACAAGAATGGATAGCTAGAAATGATAAATGATTTATCTAAAGTCATTTAGCATGTTTGTGGCAGGACATAGAATCAGGTCTTCTTAACAATAATATCTTCACTTTTAAACAAGTTACAATTGAGAAATCATACAAGTATAGTTCTTAGCAAGATATCTAAGGATCTGGTGAATATGACTATGTACAAATAGGCTATAATACAGAAATTATCCTTAAAAACATGCTGTAAAATGGGAGAAGTACACTATCTATGACTGTGTATTGAGGAATTGGGAGTATATAATGTGACAGGTAGTGCTTTAGGATCCAATCCATTTTTTAAAAAATATTTATTTATTTTACTTGAAGGTCAGAGTTACACAGAGAGAAGAGAGGCAGAGAGACAGAGAGACAGAGAGACAGAGAGACAGAGAGAGAGAGAGAGAGTTTACAGCTGGTTTACTCTCCAGTTGGCTGCAATGACCGGGGCTGCACCGATCTGAAGCCAGGAGCCAGAAGCTTCTTCCAGGTCTCCCACGCAGGTTCAGGGGCTCAAGGACTTGGGCCATCTTCTACTGCTTTCCCAGGCCATAGCAGAGAGACAGATTGGAAGTGGAGCAGCCGGGACTCCAACCGGCGCCCATATGGGATGCTGGCACTGCAAGCGGTGGCTTAACTAGCTACACCACAGTGTTGGCCCCCAATCCGTGTTTTTAAAATAAGGCTCTTTTGCATGGAAATTTGCAATATTAATTATAATTTTTAATTCTCTTCACTCATAGCATTGTTATAAAAATAATTTATTGGACTTATCATCTCAGTGTCTCAATGAAAGAATATTTTTGGTTCTCATTTTCTTTTTAAAATACTTTCTTTTTCTTTTTGAAAATAAGTAAATATAACCTGAGAGATTATGTGTTCATATCATATTTATAGCTTTTAAGTTTTGAAAATGATTTGACCACTTCCTCTTAGCCCTCCTCTCTTTGAGAGTTGAACCCACTCTGCTAGTTATTGGTTAGCTAAAAAGTTAAATATGTGTCTATTAAGAGACAAAGATAAAAATTAGTTAATATTCTCCCCCCAAAAAAGATCAATGATCATTTTTATGAGAGTTTTCTGTTTAGCTTCTATTACCAAAGTTGTTTATTTCACTTTTGGGACAAGCTCTGGGTTATATCCCCTGGGTTAGTAGATGAAAGCAATTTGGTTTCCACAAGTATATTTGTTTCTCAGATTTTGTAAGTCACATCAAAATCAGGTGATTTCATGGAGCAACACTACTGATTAGGAGAGGGAGCTTTATTTAACAAATAACTTTGGAAACAGAAACACACTTCAAACTACAGTGAATTCATTTGTTAACTGATCTTCCTGCTGGGGGTGATTGCTAGAGTTCCTTCTTTCAAATACCTGGACCATTACCGGTTTGATATGACCTATTGTGCATCTCTTTCTGTTACCATCATAAATAGTCTGTGTCTCCTTCCTTCTATTCCTTCATGGGATACAGAGGAAATGTGCTTCCACAGTATTTATACAGCAAAGCTTCCTTCTGGCATCACAACTTGCACCCTAATTGCCTACTCCTAACAAGTGCTAAAATCTATTATCCCCAGGAGTGACAGTTTAAAGCAACGAAAATTAAAGGTTTTCAAGGTCATTTACATAGTCCAATTTAAAATCAACTTTTCATTTAGGCTATGAAACAAACCAGTTCATCAGTTCATAATCACTTTAATGTATCAAGTGAAATATGATCTTAGATACAAATTTTTAAGCTAGGTGAAATTATAACATTATGTTACTTAAAATTCTGTCACTTAAATACCAATTTACTCATTTTCTAAAAAATTTCAATGGAATATTTCCCATATATACCTTCAGTTGAAGAAAATTAATTTAGGTCTCCATTATACATTAAACCAGCCAACAATTTTTACCTATGTCACACATATAAAATATCTGTCAATTCTTGTTAAATGACTATAACATGAACTCAGCATAGTCAATAAGTACATAAAATGACAATAAAAAAAGATAAAAAAAAAAAGGAAAAGGCCTTGCAATGCTTTAAGACGAATTACTCACCAGAAACAAAGTTCGGAAGTTGCTGAGATCGCCAAAAAATTCTTCTATGCTCACTGTCTTAGAGTCAAAAATGAAGTATTCTCCAAGATTCTCATAGAGCTTTACCATGTTGTTGTGCATGGTGAACAGCTTTTCATACTGGTCTCTGGCACTCTTTGTAAAACTGTAGCTTTGTGTTAAGGAGCATGATCCAATGGGCCAAGGACATAAACAGGCATTTCTTAAAGGATGAAGTTCAAATAGCAAACAAACACATGAAAATATGCTCAGGATCACTAGCCACCACAATGTGGTTTTACCTCACCCCAGTTCAAATGGCTATCATACAAAAATCCCAAAATAACAAATCCTGGCAAGGATGTGGGGAAAAAGGTACCCTAATACACTGTTGGTGGGAATGTAAACTAGTACAGTATGGAGATTCCTCAGAAATCTGAAAATAGATCTGCCATATGACCCAGCCATCCCACTCCTGGGAATTTACCCAAGGCATATGAAATCAGCATATGAGAGTTATTTGCACCCCCATGTTTACAGCAGCCAATTCACAATAGTTAAGATATGGAATCAACTGATGACGGGATGAAGAAAATGTGTATACACAAGATGGAATACTACTAGGCCATTAAAAAGAATGAAATCTTGTCTTTTACAACAAAATGGATGCAGTTGGAGACCATTATGCTTAGTGATTAATCCAGTCCCCCAAAGCCAACTATTACTTGTTTTCTCTGAAATGTAATGTGTAAGAGTGAAATTGACATCTTGAGATTTGATTCTTATTTACAGCCCTTGTCTATACTCCTGAGTAACAGTGGTCTTTCTACTTACTACTTCTTGAATTCTTCATTTAGTGGAGGATTGAGCTTGTGATTACAAAGTAAATTCAAAGTATTTTATCACAAAAATTAAAAGAAAAATAAGAAAGGGAAAAGGATAAAGGGTAGGATAAGGAGACAGAGGGAAGTATCATTATGTTTTTTTTTTTTTTAAAGATTTATTTTATTTATTTGAAAGACAGAGTTACAGAGAGAGGTAGAGACAGAAAGGGGTCTTCCATCCACTGGTTTACTCCCCAGATAGCTGCAATGGCCGGAGCTGTGCCTATCCGAGGCCAGGAGCCAGGATCCTCCTCTGGGACTCCCACATGGGTGCAGGGGCCCAAGGACCCGGGCCATCCTCCACTGCTTTCCCAGGCCACAGCAGTCATTATGTTTTTAAAACTGTATATATGAAATACATGAAATCTGTTACTGTATATATGAAATACATGAAATCTGTTATTTTTATATAAGTAAATAAATTTATTTTAGAAAATAGATATTAAGATTGAAGTAAACCATCACTTTTGTAAATGCATTTGTAATAGGCAAATATTTGTATAAGCTTAGTAAGCCTGCCATCAAATAAATAAACAAATGTTTAAAAGAAAATACTGTAGACTGGATGGCTACAAGGCCCATAAACTCCTGCTACCAACTAGTAAATGTTACCTGACAAAAATGCTTCAGAGAAAGGTAAGCAGGCTAATCAGGAAGTATAAAGGAAATCAGAAAACATCTGAAAATTAGAGTTAAATCTATTAAAAAGCAATAATGATGGGGCCTGCGCTGTGGTGTAGTGGGTAAAGCCGCTGCCTGCAGTGCCGGCATCCCATATGGGCGCCAGTTTGTTTCCTGGCTGCTCCACTTCCCATCCAGCTCTCTGCTGTGGCCTGGGAAAGCAGTAGAAGATGGCCCAAGTCCTTGGGTCCCTGCACCCACATGGGAGACCTGGAGGAGGCTACTGGCTCCTGGCTTCGGATCAGCGCAACTCCACCCCTTGTGGCCAACTGGGGAGTGAACCAGCAGATGGAAGACTACCCTCCCCCCCCCGCCTCTCCTCTCTCTGTGTAACTCTGACTTTCAAATAAATAAATAAATAACCTTAAAAAGAAAAGCAATATTGAGTCCAGAAATAAAATTACTTTCAGTTGAAAAGTCACAGACTTGGAATCGTAAAAGAAGGGTAATAGCACAGTTTACTGTATACCAGTTTAGGAACCACAAGAGCATGTTAATATTTTGTGGTGATATTATTTTATCAGGTATTGATAACAGTAACTTGAAATATTTGATTTGTAACTTTCTTTTTAATTCTTCAGTGTGTTTCATTATAACCTGGGGCCAAATTTACTTTCTAAGGGAACAAAACACTAGTTTTATAATAGAAGTCAATGGGAGAATCAGGCCATTTCTGGAAAATTACTTTGCAGCCGACACTTAAGAATATACCATGACTTTAAAAGTGAGATGGCCCCTACCTAACTTCTTTTTTATGCCACTTAATTATTAGCATTCACATTAGCAACACAACAACCTGTTCCTAACAAGTGACATTTAAATCTTTCAATTCTCAAGTCCATTTTGACATTAATAGACCTGAAAGAATTAATACATTTCTGACAGGCTCTACTTTCTTTTTAGCAACAAACGAATATATAATGCTTCATATCCATTCTGATTTTACCTTTGAGACTATCACCATACCTTTTCTGATTTTTAAGAAAATGTTACACATCCTGTTTAAACATAGCAGAGAGAAGACAAATACTTTTCATTTCTTAGTACAGAATAAAGTAGGGTTTTGTTTTGTATTCTCTTTTCCCTAAATGAAACACACTCATGCCAGGGAGTGCTAGCCAGGAACACTTTGCAAAGGTCACTTACTTGAAATCTATTTGCAATGCAAATTACTAAACTGTCTATATATTTCAGAAAGCTCAACATCTGCACAACATAGAGAAAAAGCCAACAATAACAAAAAGGCAAAATCTGTATGTTCTCCATTTATCCTAACACAATTTTTCACCAGTTTAAATATGTCCAATTTGATACAAAATTTCATCAATTTGTTTTTATAGAAGAAAAACTGATTTCAGAAATTGTCAGTGCACCAAAGTGAGAAAATTTGAAAAATTCTGGGAATAGTTTATCTTAGAAATAACAAATGGAAAGCAGCCCAAACTCTAAGTCTCTCACTTATCTTCACTATGATTACTTTGTAAAATGGATAGATGGCATGAGTCGGCACTGAAATCCTCCACAACTGCTATCATATCGTCAAATCTTACATGGGGCTGCAAGTAAAACAGAATCGGACAATATAATTATTTTTAAAGTTCATTTTTTCATCTACTTGAAAGATAGAAAGAGAGAGAGAGAGAGGGAGATACGAGATATCTTCATCTGCTGTTTCACACCCAAATGCCCAAAACTGCCAGGACTGGATCAGGCAAAAGCCAGGACCCAGGAACTGCATCGGTTGTGTCACATGGGTGGCAGGGGTCCAAGCACTTGAGCCATCATCTGCTGTTCCCCCAGGAGGCATCAGCAGGAAGCTTGATGGAGGTGGAACAGCTGAGACTCAGACACCCTGTAAAGGAATGCAGATGTCCCTAGTGGTGGCTTAAACTGCCACAATGCCAGCCCCAATATAATTCTTTTTCATTACTTTATTTCATTTAAAGGATTTTATATTATTTTGTGAGCGGTCACTAAACACAACACACTGTTTGATACTATAGTAAGCACTGTGGTTAATACGATGATCACTAAAGCCTTCATCTCTACCCTGAAAAATTTACGATCGAACATTACAAATAATTCTACCAGCATCAATGTGCATTAGGAAAGGACTTCATTATTTACAATATACTTTTCCTTCATTGTGTCCCATATTCTTCATAATAACTTTTTTAAATAGATAGAGAAAGCAGCTGTGTGGTGCAGCAAGATACCTACAGCCTGTATTCTAGTGACAGTTCCAGTCCTGGCTGCTCTGCTTCCAATCCAGCTTCCTGCTAGTGCACCTGGGAAGCAGTAGATGACAGTTCAAGTACTTGAGTTTCTGTCACCCACGTGGAAGACCCAGATGGAGTTATTGTTCCCTGGTTTCAGCCTGACTCAGGCCCAGCTGTTGCGGCCATTTGGGGAGTGGACCAGCAGATGGAAGATCTTTGTTTCTCTCTCTCTCTCTGTAACTCTGACTTTCAAATAAATAAATCTTTTAAAAGTTAAAAATTAAAAAAGCAGAATCCTACTATTAAAATTCAAGGCTTAGAAACTAGACTAAAGGCATCCATTGTCCTCCGTGGCACAATACCTAGCCCTTTTCATATGGTTCAAGTGCATTATTTACAATGACAAAGGCCTTACAACTGCCAGTTCCAATGTAAACCCCTCTGTTACCATTCTGAGGTCTCAGCAGCATCTACTTCTCTTAGTTTCTGTGACACACTCTCATGTTTAAATGTTTTTTCTATGACCTCCTTTCTCTCTCTCTCTCTCTGGAAATTTTTATAACATGTTAGAGTACCATGAGGGCTTGGTCCTACACCCTCTATCTTCGTGTACATTCTGTCTAGTTGATCCCAGCAATCCACATGGTTTTAAATGCCATCTATTGATGACTCAGATTTATCTAATCTAACTCCAATCTCTCCCCTTGATGTACTGATACAAACTTTTCTAAAATACTGCCAACTTATCATCTCTATTTGAATTTTGTTTTGAAGCACATCTATTGATATCTGAAATCTGTTGCTGAAAACCCTTTAATAGCTTTTCATAACACTTGGAATAACATCCAAACTCCTAATGGTTCATAAGGCTTTACAGGCTCTGTCTTCTACCCACCTCTGCAACCTAGAACTTTGCCGTTCTCTCTCTTAAGAATTATGCCTAGCCACATTAACATTTCAATTTCCTGGACATACCAAGGACATAGGCAACTCAGGGCCTTTGAACATGCTGTTCTCATTATCTAGAATGTTCCTTTTCTACCAGGTCATTCAATCTCTGTTCTAATGTTACCTCCTCAGAGAGGCTTTCCCCAACCATCCAATCTAAAATATCCACACCTACGCCTATTATTCCGGCCTGTTTTATTTCAGTCTGAGAACTTAGTCACTACTTGATACTATCTCTATTTACCTGTTTATTGTTGACCTTCCAACACTTAAAAATATGGCCATGAGAATAGAACTTGTCTGTTTGTTGGCTACTGACTCATCAGCACCTAGAACAGTGCCTGGCATGTAGCAGAAATAACAAACAAATGAAAAGCAGCAACAACAACTGTAACTATACCTAAGTCTTTAACCATATTTAAACATTTACTCTAT